TGAGGAGAGACCCACGGCCGGCCCAGTCTCCCTCGACTCCTCTGGAGTCACGGTGTCCTCAGGGAGGGAACAGGAGGCAGCTGGGGTGTGGCCAGGCCAGAGCTGAGCTGATGGGACCTGAACCCCGCTTTTGTGGGGTGGCCGTGCTCTCTGCTTTCTCCTCTCTGCTGTGCACAGGGGACTTGAAAAGATAGTTCCCAGTGGGCTAGAAAAGGGCGCAGTCCTCGGGCCAGAGCTCGGGGGTCACCTGTCTGGACTCCAGCCTGTTTCCTCTGTGCTGGGGCTATCAGGGCAAGTGTCTGACCAGGGCCCACAGGGCGCTGGTCAAGGGGCCCAGGGATGTGGGGTCCAGCCCTCTGTGCCCCTGACTGGCTGTCTGATCTGGGCAAGGCCCTTCATCTCTTGGCCACTGTCACATGGCATGGGGAACACTCCTCAGTGCTGTGGCCTCCAGGATGCTATAAGGAAGTAGCATCCGACCACACCCACCCTTTCTGCAGGGACCATGGTCAGGACAGAGCTGTGGACACTGAGCAGGGGCTGGCCTCAGGGCCCACCCAGACAGGCCTCCTTGTCTCTCCCAACACCACAGTGGGGCTTCCTCCTGGGAGCTGGCCAGCTGCCCTCCCCAGGATGGGACCTCAGGCTTCCATCCCGAGCTCTTCCCTCCTGCCCTGGGCCCTGCAGACTGCCCCATAAGCTGGCTGCTCTCCTGGGGTCTTTCCCTCTGTGAGCACCTCTGCAGATACATTCCGGCCTTTGGGATGCTTCAGACAGCAAGCAGGAAGCAGACAGACGCCCCGCATCTCCCCCAGGCCAACTCCAGCCCCATCAGCAGCAACCTGGCGGGGAACTGTCCACACCCGCCAGCCTCCCTCCCTCCGTCCTGTTGGGTTTCTGAACCAGCCTCTCCAGCTGCACCGCCACTGCGACTTACTCCTTCTGGTCAAATCCAAGGGCCCTGTGCAAGCCCCTGCTCTCCTCGGCAGCTCACACTGGGGACAGCTCGCAGGCTCCTCCCAAGTCCCCAAGCTGCTTCTCGGCCACCTCCTGTTCCTACTGCCTCTGCCTGGGTGCTCACCACCTCCTGCCCCCCCGTGCCCAGTTGGGAAGGGGGTGCCCTTGTGGCCCCCCATCTCCAGCCTTGCTCTTTCTTTCTTTCTTTTTTTCTTTCTTTCTTTTCTTTTTTTTTTTTTTTTTTTTTTTTTTTTTTTTTTTTTTTTTTTTTTTTGAGACGAAGTCTCACGTCTCACTCTGCCACCCAGGCTGGAGTGCAGTGGCACAATCTTGGCTCACTGTAAGCTCTGCCTCCCAGGTTCAAACGATTCTCTTACCTCAGCCTCCTGAGTAGCTGGGATTACAAGTGCCCGCCACCATGCCTGGCTAATTTTTGTATTTTTGGTAGAGACAGGGTTTCACCATGTCGGCCAGGCTGGTCTCAATCTCCTGAGCTCAAGTGGTCTGCCCGCCTCGGCCTCCCAAAGTGCTGGGATTACCCTGCTCTTTTTTGCTTCCTGGGGCTGCTTCTTGGGAGCCTTGGGCTGCTCAGCTTTCATCCCAGCCATGCCCTGCCTCTGGCCCAGTCCCTGTCCCTCACTGTGTCCTGCTAAGGTCCCTGTGCAAAGTCCTTCCCTTGTTCCAACAGCCTTCCCCAGCTCCCAGAAAAGGTGCTGTTTGTAGAGTGTTGACAGGCACCAGGCTGTCCCTGTGCCCCTCATGGCCCAGCCCTTCAGTCTCCCCTTGACACAGTCTGCCCTTGACTTCTTATTTTTCAAACTAACCTGATGCTTTTCTTTATTTGTTTGTTTTTTGAGAGGGAGTTTCGCTTTTGTTGCCCAGACTGGAGTGTAATAGCGTGATCTCGGCTCACTGCAGCCTCCACCTCCCGGGTTCAAGCAATTCTCTCGCCTCAGCTTCCCAAGTAGCTGGGATGATAGGTGCCTATCACCACACCCAGCTAATTTTTGTATTTTTAGTAGAGACAGGAGTTTCACCATGTTGTCCAGGCTGGTCTCAAACTCCTGACCTCAGGTGATCCACCCACCTTAGCCTCCCAAAGTGCTGGGATTATAGGTGTGAGCCAACGTCCAGCCTGCTTGTTTTTGTTTTGCCTCCGTGCCTTTGCTATATGACCCCTTTCCTATAAAACAGTCCTTTCTCGCTTACGATGTCTTGGAATTAGTCTTGCACTCAGGAATGCACCTCTGCTGTCAGGGCTCCAGAAAGTTAGGGTCAAGGCCTTCTGGTGTGCAGCAGTGCAGACTGTGGCCTGCGGGTGGGGGGACTGTGTGTGGCCAGTCTTTTTTTTTTTTTTTTCCACACCTTAGGCTTTGACCCACACAGAAAGAGATGGAACAGCCTGGGCTGCAGGGGCCTGGAAAGCGACGAGCATGTGGGCAGCACTGCATGGGGCAGTTGCAGGGGCTGCCTGTTCTCCTTGTCCTAGTGCTGCTCCAAGGGCACAGTCTGGTGACTGCAGCCACTTAGGGAAGCCTTAGGATGCAAAGGAGAATGAGGACACAAGGACACTAACAAAGCCCAGCTCTGCAGGAGGAGGCATGCTGCCCTGGGATGTCGCCGCCGTCTTGTCTGAGCCCGAGGGTGGCACTCGGTCCACCTGTGGGGAGCAGGGAGGAGAGAGGACCCAGCCCTGGCTGCCTCTGGTCTGCCTGGGAACGAGCTCCCTCAGGCGGAGCTTGACAGTCGGTATCCAAGCATCATCATCAGAAGCACGTAGTCCAGAGCTGTGTGCCCAGTAGAACAGGGCACTGGGGCAGGGACCCAGCCTTCTCGGCTCCTGAATTGAAGCCTGGCATGCTCCATCTTAGAGTCCTTCAATCTGCGCAGATGCACTTGGCATCTACAGTGGGACCGGAGTCCACGACACTGGGCATGGAAGGAAACTGCCCCTGTGATCAAAGAGGCCATCACAGACATGGCAGCTGAGTGCTGGGATGGGCTCTGAATGGGATGTCAAGAAGCAGGTGGCAGGAGATGGGTGAAGAGAGGGTGAAGGGGAGGGGAGCTGGATGCAGAACCTCATTCCCTGGAGGTAGGACTGTGTCCATGACAGGGGAGCCACAGAGGGCCTTTCCAAGAGAGGGATGTGACCAGCTTTGGTGTGAAGGCCACGGAGCAGAGCATGACTAGAAGTAGGGAGGCCACCTGGTAAAAGAGATGGAGGCTGGGACAAGAGTGGTGCCCTTGTCAGAGGGAGGCCAGGAGAATCTTCTCTAAGTGTGGCTGCATGTTTAGCCCAATTCCTAGAGCTGGGGCAATCATGCCAGTCACAACATAGGACATGTTACAATGATGTCTTATTTTTTTCAAGGCCAGGCACTGGCACATTTCTTCCCTATTTTACAGGGAAAGAAGTGGAGATTCTGAAAGCTTAACTAATTTATCTGGCAAGGCATGGTCTCTCATGCCTGTGATCCCAGCACTTTGGGAGGCCGAGGCAGAGGCAGGAGGATCACTTCAGCCCAAGAGCTGGAGACCGGCCTGGGCAACATAGTGAGACCCCCTCTCTATAAACAAAATTTAGCCGGGCAAGATGGTACACGCCTGTGGTCCCAGCTACTTGGATGCTGAGATGGGAAGATCAGAATCACTTGGGTCACCAGGGGGTCGAGGCTACAGTGACCCGAGATCATGCCACTGCACTCCAACCTGGGTAACAGAGCGAGACCTTGTCTCAAACTTAAAGGAAAAAAAAAGTTTGAAATCATGCAGCAAGAGAGTGACAGGGCTGGCATTCCAGCATCGTCCTTCAAAATGTGACAGACACAGGTCCCACCTGAGCCAGCAGGAATGTGGCACCCAGTGCTGCCTCTGCACAGGCCTGATGCTCGCCGGCACCTTAAAAGCAGAGGAGATCCTATGATAAACGCATGAAGAGCGCATGTTTCATGGGATTGATGTTGATGCTGGCGTTCCCTGCAAGCCACTGAGGAGAAGCCCCTCTCCCAATGGCAGGGCCACGAGAGGTGAAGGACCCCCCTCCACCACCCCTAGACAGGTCTTTCCTGGCCACAGATGCCCCAGGTCCCTGAATGTCAAAACCGAACCCCAACCCTCCAGCTGAGCAGAGAAACATTCAGATCCGGTTCCTCGGTGGTCAGGGAAGGCAGGCTTCCTCTGAAGCACAGATGGCTTCACCCTTTTCTCATGAGCCCTGCCAGGGCGACAGCAGCCTTTCCCAGGATCATCCTTTAAGATGCGACAGAAACAGGTCCCACCTGAGCCAGCAGGAATGCGGCACCCAGTGGCTGCCTCTGCACAGTCCTGGTGCTCGCCAGCACCTTCAGGGCTAAGGACACCCTGTCGTAAATGCATGAAGAGTCCTGTGTTTCATATATTGATGTTGTTGGTTTTTCTTTAGAGGAACACTTGTGCACTGTGGGAACCTGTGTGTCTACCACTGTCACCCTTGCTGTGGGGAGTGTGTACCGTGTGTGGGGGCTGGTGACCTTTCCCTGCTGTCTGCCACAGCATGTGAGGGGCTCGCCAAGCCTCATCCCTGCCCTCCCTCTCCCCGTCCCCTCCTGCCCCAGAGAGGCCCAGACCCAGGGAGGAGGGGTGCTGGGAGTGAGTGACAAGGAGCTGGGGTCCTGGCCCTGCAGCCACTGTCACAGCACAGCCCACCCCAGACCTCCAGAGTCATGGGACTCTGGTGGCACAAGCTCCAGAAGCTTGGCCGATGCCAGGTCTGGGACCGAGGCCCTGTCTCCAAGGCCTTGGCTTGCTGTTCTGGAAGGTGATGCTGGCTGGCAGCCATTCCCAGCCCCTCGGAGAGCAGTTGTCAGGCAGTCCCTGAGCTCCAGTGCCCCATCCCCAGCAGGCCCAGTGATCTCATGCCTGTGCCCCTGGCGCTGGGAGGAGCGGGGTGACATTAGGGCTGGTGCCCACATCAGGGGAGCAAGGTCTGAGGCCAGGGCAGGGGACAGGGTGCCCTCCCATCCAGCAGCCCCAGTGCCCTCCCCGCCCCCTTCAGGGCTCCCATGGCCCAGAGTGTGGAGCGGCGCGGCCTGACCAGCCAGGACACCTTGGGGCGTTTAGGAGGTTTGGCTGTCCAGGCTGTGCACCTAGCACTGCTCCCCAGGAGAGGGAGGGAGGAGTTCGGGGGAGAGGGCCTTGCTGACCGGATCGCTGTCACAGCCTCCATCTCTGGCCCTGGGTTCTTGCAGGAGCGCCTGGGCTCTAAGCTGAAGCTGTCCCATCCCAGGACCTCAGGAGGAGGAGGAGGAGGAGGCTGGGCGCCACCTGCTGACCCATCAGGGAATTGACAGGGCAGGGGACTGGAGCCGGGGGTCCATGTGCTGGCCCCAGATGAGAGCCTGACTCCCACCTACCCTACCCCACCCACCCTGCACCGTTCAGCTCAGTTCTCCCACCTGTGGTGCGGGGCCCCGTTTGCGATGGTGAATCCTGAACTTGGTACAACTCTGGCTGCTGGCAGTTGGGCTTGGCTTTCACCTTCCTGTCCCCAAACTCCACTGGGCCCTCCCTTCCAGCCACCCCAGGGCATCACCACCACAGCCAGGGGTCAGCCCCACCTTCATTCACTCCTGCTCAGAGCCCACCTGTTCTCTCCGCCCCCATCTGCTACCTGCAGCATCAGAAGGACACGAGGGCAGCAAATAGCCCCTGCAGCTGTCCACAAGCATCATGGCCAAGGCTGCGCCTGGGAAGTGCACTCTCTGTGGTGCCAGCTCCCTCTTCAGTGCCCTTGACCTTTGTCTGGGTCCCTGCTTGATGTGGCCCAACTGGCTGTGCCAGAGCTCCACAGGCGCTGTCCCGACTCCCAGCCCCTCAGAGGGAGGGAGAGGCTGAGACCGAACGGGAAGCAGAGACTTAGCCACACCAGGGGCCCTGGCACGGTGGGCCTCTCCTCCAAAGCCTCACCAGGCTTCACATTCAAGGTCACCAAGTGTGCACTTGTTCACTGTCGAGGGCAGGGGTGACTCCTGGGACTGTGCTGGGGTCCAGGGAGGACAGGTAGCAGAGTTGCCAGGGAAGCAGCTTGCCTGAGGTCTGTGGTCATGGCAGAGGCTTCCACAGCAGCCCCACCCTCTCCCTGTCCCCTCCTTCTCCCTGTCCCCTCCCTCCTGTCCTTGTCCTCGTGTTTACTGAAGACCATGAGAAGGGATGTGGAGAGCCCCTGCAGGAACTAAGAGCAGGAGCCTGGCTCAGCCCCAGGGGCCCGCAGACATTCAGTTCCTAAACCCATAGGGTGGGGCATGGGCATAGGGGAGAAACCAGGGCTGCCCTGCACAGCCCTGCTCCTTCACCCTGCCTGCCTAGTGGCCTCCTTAGCCTGCAGCCTCAGTGCAACCCGCTATGGGGCCATGCTGCCCCCTGCTGGCCACACTGCAAAATGCAACCCAGGGTCGACCTGGAGGCTACAGGCGTCCCTCTTCCCCCAGGCCTGCAGCTGGGCTGAAGGGAAAAGGGGGCACCAGGGAACAACCTGGGTGCTCCTGCCCAGGAGGATTGTCCGGCTGCATGGGGAGAAAGTCCAGAACCGTGCCTGGCACATGGTAATCCTTGTGGAATGAGTGAACGAATGAATGTATGAACTATGCATTTGAGGCTTTTTGCTGATGATGACCCAACCAAGATAGATCACATAAGCCATTTTTCCAGCAGGAACTGGGACTCCTCTTGGGTTGACAAGATGTAAGTACAAAATCTAAATAAGATTCCAATGGCACTACACAGTGACACAGGTGACCCTAGCTATAAACGCCCATGGAAGGGAATTCTGTCTGACATTCAGGGAAGACTTGGAGCAGGGTAAGGGGACGAGATTGATGGCAGGAGTGAGACTTATAGACCATGGGTGGGAGACCCCTGGCTGGCTATGTTGGGGGAAGAGGGGCAACTGGAAAGCAGCACCTGGATCTCGAGGGACTTGGCCTGCTCAGTCCTTCCATCGGGAGCCACGTCCATTCATAGTGACTGTTGAGTCTAACGACACTCAGGTACAGTGAAGCCAGAGCAGCAGCCCCTGAAAGGGTGACTCTGGGGTCTCACCCCGTCCTGACTCCTGCCTCATCCCCTGATGAGGGCTTCCCTCCTGCTGCCTCGGACTCTGCTGTCCACCCTCAGAGACCCTGTCGGGAGGCTTCCCTCCAACAAGGAACCATCCCCAGGGAGAAGGGAGCCCAGCACTCCTGGTCCTGCGGGATCCTCAGTCCACTCACCACTGCGGCATGCCCCAGGGAGTCCTCGAACTAGGGCCTGGGCCAGGGCCCCCTGGGTTCCCATGGCCTGAGTGGGCACAGTGCCCTCTTACAGCCAGGACTGCCCAAGGGTTCCAGGTGTCCTATCATTCCGCAGAGATCTTTCCTCGGTGCCTTCTCTGGATTGGGTGGGCTGCTGAGCTCTGGGGCTGCAACAGTGAATTAGGCAGGGGCTGTCCCTGCTCTCCAGGGTCTAGTGGAGAAGCCAGCACGGAGCTAATCAGTCAGAGGAGAAGGCGGTGTAGACCCACTGGTACAGGGGAGACCATGGGAGTGCTGGGCAAGACAGGGACTTGGTGGAACACATGAGATGAGGCAGCTGGGAGGTCATCTTCAAGCTGAGACCTGAAGGGTGATAGACAGCCAGGCAGGCTGCAGCGTGGGAAAGCCTGAGCAGCTGTCCCCCAACCCCAGCAGTCCCTCCCATCCCACCCACCCTCTGCAGGCTCGTGGAGGAGTTCATGCTCTTGGCCAACATGGCAGTGGCCCACAAGATCCACCGCGCCTTCCCCGAGCAGGCCCTGCTGCGCCGGCACCCCCCACCCCAGACAAGGATGCTCAATGACCTGGTGGAATTCTGCGACCAGATGGGGCTGCCCGTGGACTTCAGCTCCGCAGGAGCCCTCAATGTGAGTGGTGGGCAGGGTTCAGGGGAGGCTCTGCTTGGGGGAAAGAAGAGAAAGACCTGGAAGGTGGGGGGTCCAAGCGCCTCTGCTTCCCCCCAGAGTCCCTCCCTTCAGCCAGGTCTCTCCTATAGAGGAGGAAGGAGGCCGTGGGAGGAAGGGCCCCTCTGAGTCACAGGGGCCCTGACAATGGGACTTGCCCCCTCACCAGGACTGTGCCAAGCGGGGACCCTGGAGGCCTAGCAGAGGGCAGGGGTCCTGTGGCCAGAAAGGGCTGGTCTTGGGCCCAGAGGCTTTCAGAGTATGGGGGCTGGAATTGTAGGAATCCCGAGAATGTTCCTGGTGGGTACTTTCAGGTGCTTCGTGCCCGGGGCGAAGCTAAGAAACCCAGGGCCTTGGCTCTGGTCCTGGAGGAGGGAGACATCTCACCCAGGCCTGACCCTGGGAGGGGAAGGCAGGTGCACTAGGCCCGAGAGCTGGAGCCCAGTGAGTCCAGGCCAGTCAGCAAGACATGGAAGGGACTAAACTCAGGCCAGTGTGGGCCACAGGCTGTGGGCAGCTGCCCCCTCTCCCCACCCATCCCCTCTGAGCAGGGCTGAGCCCCCAGGCAGCTCCTCCCCCTGAGAGCTGGGCATGAGGTACTTAGCAGATGACAGGGCCCTGATTCTCTCCCCGAGCTGGACCACACGGGTTTCTGGGATTTGCTTCTAGAAAAGCCTGACCCAAACATTTGGAGATGACAAGTACTCACTGGCCCGGAAGGAGGTGCTCACCAACATGTGCTCCCGGCCCATGCAGGTAAGGAGGGCCCAGCCCCGGCCCATGCAGGTAAGGAGGGCCCAGCCCCGGCCCATGCAGGTAAGGAGGGTCCAGCCCCGTCCTCGCCGGCTCCCGGGAGCACACTGGCCCCAGACCTGTGACCTCCACGTGCAAGCACAGCCCACCACCGTTCCTGTCCTGCTCTGGACATGGCTGGGTGGACGGGGCTGCTCCTCCTCTGCCGGAGGGTGGGAGAGGAGGCCGACCCCAGGCAGCACCTAGGAGGGGGCACCCTGAGCCTCTTGAGTTTGAACCGCTGCCTCCTGCTCAGACTTGCTCAAGGACAACATGCCTTAGAGCTGAGGGGCTACCGAGACCTCCTGTCAGGCTGGGGTCCTGGAGGAGAGACAGGGTCCCGTGTGGCTTCCTGTCCCGGGGAACACTCCACAGCCTCCACCCCTGCATGTGGAGTCCAGAACCAGCTGTCAGCCTCTGGCCAGTGTGGGAAAGAAGCAGACTTGGCCATGGGCCTAGGCCTGGGCCTGCAGGGAGGTGGCAGCCTGTAGGGTGGACAGCTGGGCTTGCTCTGGGACGCCTGTCACAGCCCCCAAGGCTGAGCTTCACCCGTGCAGGGCCTGAGCATCCTGGGACCAGGATCCCAGAGGACCCTCGGGCCAGCGGGAGCAGTGGGTGCTGATGAGTCAGCTCTGGGCCCCAGCCCAGCCCAGGGGCAGGGACAGGCTGTATTTCAGGAGCTTGGTCACACAGCAGATTCAGTCTGTTCTCAAGAACTGGATGGCTTCAGCTGACCCCAGTGGATTTATTTTCTGACACTTCAAGCTCCGCTGGGTTTGAAGCCATCAGGATCTGCTTGGGCCTGGCCGCCCTGACCTGCCCCCAGTCACAAGTGTCTGCCCAGCCAAGCACCTACAGCACCCACAGCTGAGAGGGGCTAGGCCGTGCCTGCGGGGCTGTCTGTGTTCTACACGCCAGTGGGTCTAGGCCTGGCAGAGAAGGCACAGCAGCCTCTGAGTCCCAGAACTGCCTCTGGCTCTGCCCTGCTAGGGCCCCTCCCATGCCCCTGCCTCTAATGCCATCACCTTCAAGGAGGTACAAGCCAAGCTGGAGTTCCAGGGATCGGAGCCGCTCCGGAGTCAGCCAGAGCCTGAAAAGGCTGCATTCTCCTGGCTCGCCTGCCAGGGAGCTCGGAGGCGCCCTTGCCTGGGAATCTGATGGCAGCGAGTCACCAGAAGGTCTGCAGTGCTCCTGTTCCTCGGCCCCAGGAACTGCGGTGGGGACAGGGCAGGGCAGCAGCAGAGAGCACAGAAAGCTGTGAGGGGGCACGCAGTCCCCAGTGAGCTTCTGCATCAGGACTCCAGGGCTGTCCCAGGGATGGCTGGGCCTGTGGGAAAGCCATGGTCCCCACCTGACCCTGAGCCACCTCCACCAGCCAGGAGGGGCCAGGGCCCTTCTTCAACCTCACCCAGGTCATCTGGGGAACTGGGCCACCGCTGAGAACAAAGCCCAGATGTGTCTGGGAGTGGAGGCTGTGCCCACCTCCCCCGGAGACTTGCCCCCAACTTAACCCAGGGCCCAGCAGGGGCTGGAAGGGAAGTGGAGTTAGGGAGCCGAGCAGGTCACCGCCAGCTGCGCCCTGGATTCCAGGGCCCGTGTGCACAGAGTAATGGGAGCTGTCTGTCTGTCTGGCCAAGGGCACAGGAGGGTGAGTGTGTACAGCAGCCAGGGAGCAAGGGGACCAGCGAGACACACCGGAGTGACCTTGGACCTCTGCAAGGAACCCGTTCACTCGCTCCCAGGCAGCAGCACTGGCCTTGACACCCAGCCCTGAAAACTGGGGGACTGCAGGGCAAGCAGCTTCAGTGACTGTAGCCCCAGCTGGGCCAGGCTGTGTGCTGGTCCCTAGAGACTCTGGGTATCTCCCTGTCCCAGCCCTGCCTCCTGCCCAGCACAAGGGTCTTTGGAACTCCGCCCTCTGTGTCTCAGTCCCTGGGAGGATCAGATGGTTGGAGATGAGAAGGGCCAAGTCTGACAGGCTGGAAACTGCCTCCCTTGGCTGCTGTGGGGTGGAGTATTGGCGAGCACAGAGGTATCCGGGTGAAGTGTGGCTTCAGCTGGGCGAGTTCAGTGCCAGAGGGGATAAGGACGGCCCGGACCAAAGGTGGGCCTAAGTCTGAGAGAAAGCGCCAGGAGCCTGAGGCCTGTGTTGCACGGGGCAGGGAATGGCATCCTGGGCTTTCTCGCCTGCCTCCCACTCTGGCCAGATGGAGCAATGGACTTGGCCTCCTTGAACAAAGACCCACAGCCACCTCGGCTTCTGCTTGTGTCTCCAGCAGACACTGTCTGCAGCCCCCGGTCATACGTGGCCACAGGCTTCTCCCTCCTCCTTCCTGGGCCAGAGTAGCAGCCCCAGCCCCATGCTGGGGAGGAGTAGACCAGAGACCGTTCCCTCCTGGAGGTGCCCAGCAGTGACTCAGCAGCGACGGGACATGTCTGGGCCATTCTCAGTGCTGCCCCTCGAGGGCATTTGGGAGGCCCAGGCAGGCCAGATTTGTCTCCTGGAGAGAGGTATGGGCACCCCTGGGCTCTGCCCAGCCTCCTGACCTCCCCTTGGGTCCCCTTATGCAGAAAGGGACACTGGTCCTGGCACTGGTCCTCCTTGGCTTTGCTCAGCAGGCAACAGTCCATCAGGTCTGTGCACACCAAGGCTGCCAACGGCGAGGCTGTGGGTGACAGGGGCCCTCCTGGACTGGCCGGGAAGCTCTGGGCTGGCCAGGCTCTGACTCGCCCCGCAGATGGCACTGTACTTCTGCTCGGGGCTGCTGCGGGACCCGGCATAGTTCTGGCACTATGCGCTCATCATGCCCCTGTACACACACTTCACCCACAGTGGGTGCTGAATGGCCCAAGACCATTCAGGAGTGACAGTGGAGGTCCAAAGGTCGGGTGACCCAAGCGAAGGGGAACCTGACCTGAGAACTCTCCTTATGGACCAGTGCTGCGGAAGCTGCATGGGGCCCACAGCCAGCCCTGGACACAGCTGAGAGGAGGACACTGACCTCAGAGGGCTGCTTTCTGCTGCCCTGGGAGCTGGGTGCTGGGGTCCTAATCTGTCACCTGGGGCGGAGCACCATGCAGCCCATCCCCCAGCCATTGCCCTTCCCCACTCCCCCCCCCAACCTCATGTCCCATACAGCACCGCCCACCACCCCACCCCCTCTTCCCAGGCTATAGGGAGCAACTAGACATGGCGCCCGATACCCTGCAGAAGCAGGCGGACCACTGCAACGACCGCCACATGGCGTCCAAGCGCGTGCAGGAGCTCAGCACCGGTCTCTTCTTTGCCGTTCTGGTCAAGGTGAGCCCTCCAGTCTGGTGCCCCTCACCTCCCTCTGGCTCCCGACCCTCCTGGGCACCTACTCACCAGGAGGCCTCAAGAAGCCCAGGGCAGTGCCAGGAGGTGCCATGGCTGCAGCACTATCCTTGCAGAAGAGTGGCCCCCTGGAGTCAGAAGCCATGGTGATGGGCGTCCTGAACCAAGCCTTCGACGTGCTGGTGCTGCGCTACGGCGTGCAGAAGCGCATCTACTGCAACGTGAGTGCCCTGGGAGAGCCCGTGGGCGGCCAGGGCAGCCCAAGCCATCCCACACTGGAGGGGTACAGGCTGTGATGGGTCACACTCCACCCCCCGCTTCCCCAGCCCTAGCACAAAGCCCACCTGATGGGCCTTGCAGAGACGCCCAGCTCTCCCACCTGGGATGGTGGCTCCAGGCCCAGGGTCAGGCCTGGCCCCCTTCCCCAAGGACCCAGGAACCAGAGATCAGGCCCCTCCATGGCTAGTACAGCTCGGCAGGGTGTGCAGGCTTTGGGGACCATGTTCATAGGAATGTGAAGGAATGAGAGGCCAGAGAATGGTCCTTGGCCGCTCTGGAAACTGTCCCCTGAAGACAAGGAAGAGAGCTGTCCCTGGCTTGGCTCCTGCCCTGAGTGACTGTTGATTCACAGTTCTCTCCAAGGGGACGTGGGCCTGTCCTAACGCCGCCTTAGGGGCTTGGCTCCAGCTGGCCCTGGGGTCTGCAGGTCACCACCTGGCCCCTGTGCCTGGCTTTGAATTTCCTAACATCCAGAGTGCCCTGGGAGTACAGTGTCCAGCCCGTTGTGTGCAGTAAACGTGGTGTTCCTAACCTGGAGCTGGGCAGAAGAGGAAGGACAGAGGCCCCCTGCTGACCCTCGGGACTCTGTGTCCTGAAGTTCAAGCCTAGGTCATCTTGCAGTGGGTCCAGCCCTGCCTGCACTGACAGATGGCACCAGCAGGGGGCGCAGTGCTCTGCCGCCACAGTTCTCTGTCCCCACCTCAGTGCAGTCAGCCCTGGACGCCCCCACCACTTGCCCACAATAGCACACAGAGCCATGGGCCTTCCCAGTCCCCACCCCTGGCCCTTGGTCACTCTCACCTGCTGCCTCAGCCACAGGTGGCCTGGCAGGGCCTCCCTGAAGCTCCCTCCAGCCAGCCAGGGCCCAGGACCGAGGGAGGAGGGCTGCCTCCAAGCAGTGAAGCCCTCCAGGGTGGGAGGGCAGGCGGCCCCCTCTGTGTCCCATCCCCCTTAGTCCTGGCGAGCCCTCCCCTGCCTCCTGCGGTGCCCCCTGCCCTCATCTATGCCCCCTGGGATCCCCCAGCACTGCAGCCTCCCGGGTGGGGTTTCAGGACCCCCAGGCCCTCCCAGCTCACCCAGACCCTTCCTGAGGGTCCTGCTTTCTGGCACCACCTTCCCTTCCTTGGGGACAACCCCAGTGGAGAGAGGTGGGGCTCTAGCTGTCCCACTAATGCAGGGGTGCTGACCTTTTGGGGTCCTCTAGAGAACTTGATGAAAGCTATGAGTTTACACCTAAGAAATTGTCGGGCACCGTTTTTCACCAACAACGTGCCCTGAAGGTGGACCCAGGCCCCCAGGTTGCATTTTGTAAGCCTTGGGAGCTCTCAGGATGCCTCTGACTCCCTCAGCTCTGCACTGACCCGAGGCATTCATCCTGGAGCAGGCCCTCGTTACAGACAGGCGAGCAGAGGCTTCCAGAGGCCAAGGGAGGGTCCTGGGGGTCCTGCTGCAGGGCCAGAGGCAAAGCTGCACCTCGACATCAGTCCTTTTCATCTTTGTCCCCTCACGGCTGGGCTCTGCACAGGTCATCACCATCATCAGCCTGGTAGAGGGCGGCCATGACCCTCAAGTATAGTGCTGTCCTGAAGCAGCCGAGCAACCAGGGCCACCTGGGCCCCGAGGAAGAGGAGGAGGAGGAGGAGGTCGAGTGTGAAAAGGAACCTGAGGGCCGAGCTTGGCCAACCCTCCTGCCCCACCCCACTAGCTTTAGGAACAGGACCTGTTGACACCAAGGGGGATTTTTAATTTGGATTTTAACAACGCAAGAGTTTGCTTTTGGTTTTAGTTTTGCGTTTTATTTAATGTTTGCAGCTCAGTTTTCAAACAAACTGCAAGGAAGAGGATGGCGCTGGAAGAAAGGCTGAGACCTGGCCAGCAATGAGACTGGCTCCCCTTCTGCCCGGGCCCCACTGCCTCCTCCAGGCCAGGGAATGGGGCCTTTTCTGCAAATCCATGTCAGGGAATAAAATCAAGTGTGGAGTGCCATCTGGTGTGTGGGGCACCCCTGGGAAGCCTGGGCAGTGGAATGCCCCTTGCACCCAGGGCAAGGGACCCAGCTCAGGCTCCACCCCTCACTGTTGAGCCGATGTCACCGCCCGGAACCTTCCTGTCAGTTCCAGCACGATTCAGAGTCGGCTACGTGGCAGATTGATGCCGGAGTCTCATTCTGCCTGATTAAAAATGGAATTAGTATGCAGGACTGAGAGCGCCCCTGTCACCCTGACGCATGTGACTGTGTCCAACCCTGCCCCCGCTTCCTCCTGCACCAGCTCTGCAGGGCCTGGTGGGGTCATGGGTCCTGCAACACCGTCTCCCCGCAGTTCCTTGGCCAACACTCTGAATGGCCCTGTCTATAACCTGGGTCTGAGTCAGTGCCCTGGCAGCCCCAGGCCTAATCCTGTGCTCTGGGGACGGAAGCAGGCCTGGGCCTGGGGGAGGGGAAGAGGGCCCTCCAGTGCCTTCCCAACCAGGAGGGGAAACCGGCTCCTGGTGACACAGCCTGGCCCTGTTGCCCACCCAGTGTCCCGAGCACCCACGGATCCCACCTGCCTCGGGTCCCGGGCAGAGCTGGCCGGCCACTGGGCAGTCCCTTCCCCAGCCAGCCCGACCCCAGCCTGCACTCCTTCCCCCTCCATGGGGGAAGCTCCGTGGCTTGGCTTCCCCGAGAGCTGCCAGAAACTAGGATGAAAGCCGCGGTGAGCACGGCCTCTGCTCCCCCGCACCATGTCCTGGGGTGTCTGGATTAACAAGCTCATTTGATCTGGTTGCAGTGAATTTTCTTCAAAGAAACACTCAATCGGGTCCCTTGTCAGAGTGCCTCGTAGCGCCTGAACGACAGTGACTGGGCACGGCTGCCTTTGTTCTGCCACCGTCAGATGTGGCCTGGCAGGGCCTCCCTGAAGCTCCCTCCAGCCAGCCAGGGCCCAGGACCGAGGGCAGAGGGCTGCCTCCAAGCAGTGAAGCCCTCCAGGGTGGGAGGGCAGGCGGACCCCTCTGTGTCCCATCCCCCTTAGTCCTGGCGAGCCCTCCCCTGCCTCCTGCGGTGCCCCCTGCCCTCATCTATGCCCCCTGGGATCCCCCAGC